ATTAAAAAAAAAAAAAAAATTGAAGATTTTTTGCCATTATTGTGGTAAACAATTCTGTGACCAAAATATTTTGTCCAGTTTCCAAAAATCTATGTACAATGACCCAGTGGACTTGTCCACATTTTCCAAGTTTGGTTGAGGGTCTACTACCATAATTCAACAGTTCTGCACTGGAGAAACATAACTAAACTGTCATGAAGACATAAGGGACAGACTTCAAAATACCTCAATTACTTCTTTTAACCCTTAAACTGTTCAAACTTAAATCAACGTTTTTTTCTACATTTGAATGTAAAAAAAGCAATCTTTTCTATTTTTACATTTGAAAACGTGTAAAAAACTTCGATCTACTTTTTTTTATATTTGAAAATATGTAAAAAAGAAACGTAATCTACTTTTGGAGCACTACGCATGTGAACATAGATCTGCTTGGACAGTTTAAGGGTTAATGTAAAAAAGGAGTGCTGAGAAACTAGAGTACCCTTATGTTGCATGACCTCTTAAATTTGACAGGCTGTGCTTCATTCCATATTCAAATGTTTTGCATAGAAACTAGGAGCACAAGCATTAATCGTTCAATATAAGTACATTATGTTCAGTGATTTTTTATACAGACTTGCATTAATATGCAATATCAAGATGTTGATGAGCAAGAAGTTCCACCTGTGCAGCACAAAAGCCATTAAAGAAGTGGTTTATAATGCTTGTTCATTTGAAGCTTAAAAGTATTACCATTATCCAAGACAATGAGGTACAACGATAGTAGTGCTATTTTTAAGAGCACTTTGACCTTGCAGGTAACTGCCATAAAAAAAAATTAAATCAAATGCTCAATACAACAATGAAGTACTCTACTCACAAGACTGTCCAGATGCAGAAACTGAAGACCTCATCAATCCACCTCTGTAGGTATGTGGCATAACTTGCACTAGCCCATACAAACCTCTTCTGCACACCTGAAGATTGGACTATGTTAAGTATAACTACAAAAGAGCTAGTTATTTCATTACATATATATATAACATCAAACCTCTCATAGAATCAGGCTTTTCATAAACACGGACCCAGGAAAATATTCATCAGTTCAATTAACAAGAAACATCCTTTCATCATCAACACTCCAGCCATCTCACCACAATAAGGTGGCCCCACCAAGAAAATTTTCATTCACTTGAATCAGTCTTGCCAGCAAAAGGGGGACAGACTTCAGTTCAGATGACTGTGCAAAGTACAATATCCCCACCCCCTTCTCCAGGGTGCAGACACTGTATATGCCACCTCCAAATTACCCGATTAAAACCCTACCGTACACTTTTCCTGGTATACTCATTAAACTTATTCCTCTATAATTTTTTACAATTTCTTGTCCCCCTTCCCTTAATATAAAGGGACTATACATGCTCTGCCAATCCCTAGGTACCTTCCCCTCTTTCATACATTTATTAAACAAAAATACTAACCACTCCAACACTATATCCCCCCGTTTTCAGATACTATTTGGGAGCCGATGTGTCAGCGGATGGATTTATGAAGGATGAGGTTAATCATAGAATTTATGAAGGAAAAAAAGCAAGTGGTGCGTGGAGGTATATATGGAGACTAAAAACGTTAACTATGGAGGCAAAGAAGGGAATGTATAAAAGTACAGTAGTACCAACACTCTTATATGGTTGTGAAGCTTGGTTTGTAAATCCAGCTTCGAGGTGGTGGTTTGGAGGCAGTGGAGATGTCCTGTCTAAGGACAATGTATGGTGTAAATGTCCAGAAAATTCAGTGGAAATTAGGAGAAGGTGTGGAGTTAATAAACGTATTAGAAGGCTGATAAGGGGTTGTTGAGGTTGTTTGGTCATTTAGAGAGAATGGATCAAAGTAGAATGACAAGAGCATATAAATCTGTAGGGGAAAGAAGGCAGGGCAGGGGTCATCCTCGAAAAGGTTGGGAGGGAGGGGGTAAAGGTTTGTGGGCGAAAAGCTTGGACTTACAGCGAGCGAGAGAGAGCGAGAGCGAGAGAGAGCGAGAGAGAGCGAGAGCGAGAGAGCGAGGAGCAGGAGAGACAGAGACAGAGACAGAGAGAGACAGAGACAGAGACAGAGACAGAGCAGAGAGAGACAGAGAGAGACAGAGAGAGACAGAGAGAGACAGAGAGAGACAGAGAGAGACAGAGAGAGACGAGAAGAGAGACAGAGAGAGACAGAGAGAGACAGAGAGAGACAGAGAGAGACAGAGAGAGACAGAGAGGACAGAGAGAGACAGAGAGAGACAGAGAGAGACAGAGAGAGACAGAGAGAGACAGAGAGACAGAGAGGAGACAGAGAGAGACAGAGAGAGACAGAGAGAGACAGAGACAGAGAGACAGAGAGAGACAGAGAGAGACAGAGTGTGTCTGTGTGTGTGTGTGTGTGTCTGTGTGTGTGTGTGTGTGTCTGTGTGTGTGTGTGTGTGTGTGTGTGTCTGTGTGTGTCTGTGTGTGTTGTGTGTGTCTGTGTGTGTGTGTGTGTGTCTGTGTGTGTCTGTGTGTGTCTGTGTGTGTCTGTGTGTGTCTGTGTGTGTCTGTGTGTGTCTGTGTGTGTCTGTGTGTGTCTGTGTGTGTCTGTGTGTGTTGTGTGTGTCTGTGTGTGTCTGTGTGTGTCTGTGTGTGTCTGTGTGTGTCTGTGTGTGTCTGTGTGTGTCTGTTTGGTGTGTCTGTGTGTGTCTGTGTGTGTTGTGTGTGTGTGTGTGTGTGTGTCTGTGTGTGTCTGTGTGTGTCTGTGTGTGTCTGTGTGTGTCTGTGTGTGTCTGTGTGTGTCTGTGTGTGTGTGTGTGTCTGTGTGTGTCTGTGTGTGTCTGTGTGTGTCTGTGTGTGTGTGTGTGTGTGTGTGTGTCTGTGTGTGTGTCTGTGTGTGTGTCTGTGTGTGTGTGTGTGTGTGTGTGTGTGTGTGTGTGTGTGTGTGTGTGTGTGTGTGTGTGTGTGTGTGTGTGTGTGTGTGTGTGAGAGTGAGCGTGTTAGATAGGAGTGAATGGAGACAAATGGTATTTGGGACCTGACGAGTGGTTGAGTGTGAGCAGGGTAATATTTAGTGAAGTGATTCCGGGAAACTGGTTATTTTTATATAGCCGGACTCGAGTCCTGGAAATGGGAAGAACAATGGGATTTTGGCAGTTTGGAGAGATATGTTGTGTATCTTTATTCGTATATGCTTCAAAATTGTTGTATTCTGAGCACCTCTGCAAAAACAGTGATTATGTGTGAGTGAGGCAAAAGTGTTGAATGATGAAAGCATTTTCTTTTTGGGAATTTTTTCTTTTCTTTTTGGGTCACCCTGCCTCGGTGGGAGACAGCCGACTTGAAGAAAATTTTTTTTAAACATTTCCTGGACGTCCGTGAGGAAATGCCTGAAACAAGTTTCTCCCACAAAATAGAAGCACCGATAAATATTGCTGGTCACCAATTACCTAAAGAATTTTTTTTTCCCAACAAGTCGGCAGTCTCCCACCGAGGCAGGGTGACCCAAAAAGAAAATACATTCCTCATTCAACATTTTCACCTCACTCACACAATCACTGTCTTGACAGAGGCACCCAGATACAACAGTTTAGAAGCATATATAACAAATTACGTTTCATAAAGAGATAACCACATACTTAAACTTACTAAAGTCCTGCAAATAGTGGACACTTCATAATCTTTGTCTGCAACAGCTTGTGCAGAGAAGCAGACACGAATTTCCTCACCAAGTTCATAGATGCTGCCATCATTTAGCAATAATTATATCAGGAGGGCACTGAAACAGATCTCCAATTATAATGCAAGCACAAAAAAAAAATATATATGGAAACCCATTTCTAAGGACTCAAAACTAACTTTATATTCACATTTGTTCATAAAAAGATAATTCATCACTGGAATATTAAAGCTAAAATGTTTATCATTTACTTACTGAAAAATGGAGTAATAACATTTACTGAAGTACTGAAGAATACTGGCAGTTGACAATCAGGTTCTGGAACAGCTTATGCACAGTCTATATAATCTGGCAAAAACCACTTCAAAGCATCTATTCCTTTGCCAAGCAAGATATTTTCATAACTTTTTGGAAATTATATTTACTTATTATTGCTATAAAGCTAATACAAATTTATTTTTATTTATTTTTAACATGTTGGCCATTTCCCACCAAGGCAGGGTGGCCACACAAAAAAAAAAAAACTTTCATCATTCATACAAAATCACTGAACAAAGAAACAAGCAAACTGGTCAATCTTTACAGCAAAAGTTTCATAAACTGAAATTTAATGAACTGAGAATGAACTATTTTTAAACTGAGAAACACCTGCTAGCTAATGATAACTTTACAGTATACACTACACAATTTGGCATCCTCCCTTTTTCTTTAAGTAGGAAGTGTAATTATGAGCAATTCTGAAATGTGGAAGCTTCATCCTTTACAGTAGTTTATTACCAAGATCTGATATCCCAGTGGTTAACTTTTTCGTCCCTTCAATTTGTAGCCTAGCTTAGTTCCTAAACACTGCACTGTATTCAATGGGGACATTGACATTAGTGCTTCTTCTCTTACCAAGTCATTAATGGAAAAAAAACTTTTCAATTAGCAGCAGTGAATCTGGTGCCTTCTAATTCTGCAATTACTTTAAATGGTAGTTCCCTTTGCTAATTTGCAATAGCAATGCCATAATCATTAAGTTTATTACATTTACATACATTGTTTTCCCACTAGCTTTTCCCCATTTTCTTAAGAGAAATCAACTTGGCTAATATTTAGCCCATTTAAAAATGTTTAAAACCCCTTGTCAAAAAAATCACATGCTCTTCTAATCTGGTAACCAGCTAGGTTTGTGCAAGAATTAGCTCACTGCATATCATAATTTGTAGTACCCAAACTTCTAGTTGCTAGCAGTGTACTATTAAAATGTTTACAATTTTATGCATGAAAATGCAATGCTATATCTCAAAGGCTGCCTTCAATATAGGGTCATCTTAGAAGGGCAAGAACAAGGCAAATTCTTTAAAAAGTTTTATTTAGCAACTGCAAATGTTGATAACCAGCTGAACCACTGCAAGCCTATTTTTTAGCCTGGAAAGAAAATTCACTATCACAATATAAAGTTAACTGCCTAATTCCCACCAAGAAATAGCAATCCATTTTTTTTCTTACAAATGTATTAGAACTAGGGGTGTGCCAATATATCAGTAGGATTTGTCAATTTTGGTGGTGGTTATATTGTTGTATAATTGAGTATTGGTGGTATTAGTGCCAATATCAGCTAATTTTACTGATAACTCCCCACCTCTAACTATGCACTTGGCATATAACTTGGCACCTCCAGCATCCCTTATTTCTTTTGGATGCCCTGAGTAATATCCTGAGACAAAGCAAGGAAATACAAGTGAAAGCAGAAGATAAGCAGACTAATGGAACATGTCCAAATACACTAACAGTTAGCATGTTTACATCAAAGGCTAAGCCTCGCCATACCAAAATAACAGCCTTGCCACAAGAGGCAGAGGGACTACCACAGGACTGCTCCGCTAATTCTACACTGGCACACCTTAACAGTAATATCGCATATTTCTGTTGGAAATTTAAGACTAACCTCAGAATATTAAAAATACTAACTTTGATCAAGCAACTTACGACTGTACTGAAAATTAATTGTGATGTTATGCTTCTGGCAAGACTGATATTCAACGAGCGACTGTCGAGCATTTCCCATTGGGGCCACCCTTCCTTGACAAGTAAAGCTGATGCTCTCTCACTGCATGTTAGGTGAACCAATGCTGGTTAGTTTGTGAAACCATTTCTGTAGCCAAGTGCTTCCTAAGTCACCTTCCTTAAATATTGGGATTACATTCACACAAGGACTCCTAGCTGTATCTAACATTCTTGCATCCTCCACATAGTATTACCATGAACTATAGGTTTGGTTTCAGCAAAATTTTGAAGTTTCCTGCTGGTTAATTCTCTAATGGTTGTGTCAGTGGAATTGGCATTTAGAGCAGGCACTGGAAATGTTAGCCACCTTGCTCTTGGGGGAGTGACTCCCCCCCCCCTCTCTAAACATTTACCAAGTTTAAATGTGATCTTTAGTGGCTGATTTTCATAACTGCTGATGAAATGAAAGGAACAGTATTTTAGGAAAGGCTTGGTGAATGTAGTTTTAATATCTTCAAATGGTATTCAAGTTTACATACCCTGCAGACCCTCAAGAATAATCGAATTACAACTCTGCATTTTGTCTTGTAATGGTTTAATTTAAAATACATTATTCTACATTAAGCGCAGGAAGGAATAATGTATTCAAGTGGATCAAAGTACCTTAGGGAAAGGAGACATGGCAATTGTCAGGGAAGATGTCATAATGGGTATGAGTAGTTAGTGGGGGTTCAAGGATCTGTATTAGAACCATTATTGTGGTTAATGGGACAATCTGTGCTAAAAAACGGCAAAAAAAAGACAAAGATCCAAATGGATCTGGGCAACTGCACGATTTGTCACACAAGTGGTTACTTGAATCCAACCCCAGCAAATGCAAGAATGCAAGGTTGGGAGGAGGGGGAGGGGGGCAAAGGGATCATACAGTACCAGACTGTGCACTGCCATAAAAACCGGCTTCACTAATTAATCAAGGAAAACTTGTCTGACTTTAGAAACTTTTAAGAACATCCTGATAAACAATCATCCAGATTTATGCTTACATTTCACACAGACCCCTTTTATCATGCCTACACGCATATCCCAGACCTCTTCCACCATATTTGAAGGTGCCAAAATGTATGCCTATATCTAAAGGGATAGGGAAGGGGATAAAAAGTGCAATTAGAGTTTACTGTATCTGTCATAAGTTATTAAATATTAATGAAATAAAAAGATAAGACTGATTCCAAGTTACAACAAATTTACAATAAAGTTGAACAATGATCACTATGATTTGGCAAAGTTAAAAGTACAAAAACTAAACTAGTTCTTTACACAACTTACTGCAGCTTTCTTAGTTTCAATTGCTTTCTTTGCTTCAATTCGCTTCTTTTCCTCTAATATTGCTGCTTTCTTTTCAACTCGAGCAAATGGATTGAGATGTAGAAGGGCATGGCGGTTTGATAGTGGGTTCTTCTTTATCTTCCGACGAATCACAGTTTTACTGAAAAATGATAGCCAGTCTATTACATAAAATAGGAAAGCTACAAGTTTCCAAGAAAATTCAAAAGTTGTTCTAAGGTTCCTTCATGAAAAAAATTTGACCAATACAATACTTCAACCTCAGATTACTTTCATTTGCATTTACAGTAGCACTAATAAATATTACTAGAAAACAAATACCTGGTTAAAATTTAGTTTTTAGTTTATAAGTACAATGCCTACACTCTAAAGGAGGGGTTTGCTATATTAGCAGTTTGGAGGAATATGTTGTGTATCTTTATAGGTATATGCTTCTAAGCTGTTGTGTTCTGAGCACCTCTGCAAAAGCAGCGATGTGTGAGTGAGGTGAAAGTGTTGAATGATGAAAGTATTTTCCTTTTGGGGATTTTTCTTTCTTTTTTTGGGTCACCCTGCCTCGGTGGGAGACGGCTGGCTTGTTAAAAAAAAAAAAAAAAAAAATTTCCAGCTTGGAACATGTAGGTAAAAATACTTAATCAGCATTATCACACAAGATAGCCCTATAAACAAGATTGCCTGATAAATAATGCAGCTTCAGTTTCAGACAAGAAGTCTGTGCACTGGTATTATCTTAAGGTTAGGACCAGAGAAGTTCTGCACAAATTATACCCTACCATAATAGAACTTACTTTGGAGCTCTGATGGCTAATTGGATTTCATCAGATTTTAAAATTCTAGCCAAATCTGTGTTAGTCATCTTGGGCATTGGAAGATTGTAATTCTTCTTCTTCCTTGACTCCTTACGCCAAGTTCCATAGAGGGAGTCCAACTTGCGGAAGGCTGTGTAAGAAAAAAAACTAATCAGTTACAGTATACAGCAAACCAATGTGGAAGAGACTTGTACTCTTCATTCACTGTAGACCCATTTTTATCACGTCTAGGAGAAAATTTTCCACTCGCAGCCTAGATGAGGGAATCCAGCTCCAAATTTTATCTATGCGAGTGATGCCATCATCCACAATGATTAAATCATTGATGCTAGTGTCACTTGTGTGATGTTAACAAAATAAATCCTGCCTCAGTGCATGAAGAAAAATATCTGACCTCATTAGTTTACAACAGCAACTTTGAGGCATTTCCTGGGGGGAAGGGGGAAGAGGGAAGAAGGGGAGGGTTCTATTGGCAGTGTTTCTGGGCATCAACTGATAAAATTTTAAACACCACTAGTGAAGTGGTTCAACTCAAACCCTAAGTACCTTGAAATGAGGTTCTTAACCCCTTCAGGGTCCAAGGCCCAAATCTGAAGTGGTGCCCCAGTGTCCAAGAATTTAAAAAAAAAAAAAAATGTTATTTTTCTTATGAAATGGTAGAGTTACTTTTTGTGAAGGTAATAAAACAAAAAGTACAAAATTTGATGGAAAATTGACGAAATTATGCTCTCGCGAATTTTGATGTGTCAGCGATATTGACGAATCTGCAATTTTGCCAACTTTGACTCCCATTTTAGGCCAATTACATTATTCCAGTCAACCAAATTCTTAGCTATTTCACTAGTATTACTTCTATTCTATCGATTGAGCACAAGAAATCGCCAAGTCAACTGTTTCAACTACAAAATAAAGTGATCAGAAATTGTTAATTTGGCCAATTTAACACAAAGTTCAAAATATTCCAATTTCAAAATAGGGTCCAGAATAAACAATGTAGGTATTCCTGGAACTAAACTAACATTTTTTCTGTTCATTAGTTACGTTTTGAGGCTTTACAAATAAATTCCATTTTGATTTTTTATTCACACCAAAAAATAGAAGATTTACTGTTATGCAATACTGTAGTAATTGTATAAATATCATCACCATATTTGTGAATGTATATTAGACCCATCAGCTGGCGTGTATTAGACGTGTGAGGTCGTTTGTTTACTCTTGAACATAGGCAAAAATTTAACATTTCCGCTACTTACAGCTCAGTTTCAAGCCATTTGCAGTGCTAAAACCAATCAAAATCATCTCTTTCTGTAATATGTCTTCCATTCTATCAAATGAGACCAAGAAATCGCAAATAGAACTATAAAAAACATACGAAAAAACACTGCAAAGTCGCTGTTTTAATCTAAAAATCATGATTTCAGTTTTTCTTCTCTCATTATACACAGTGTGCTGCAGGATTTGTTTTATGTGGTGCACACATACCACAGATGTATTCTCTCATATCTAGGCCCAAATGTACCACTCACAGTTTATCAGAGCGAGCTGAGCTCATGACGTAGATCTACGGTTTGGACCCTGAACGTAAAGCCGTAGATCTAGGGGACGGAACCTGAAAGGGTTAAAATAAGCTCACACTTAACAGTCCAATTTAAATTTAGGTTTTTCACTAAAAATGCATCAATTCCATTAAGGGTGCGCTAGGACAAATTTCCGCGCGCGCTCAACCAAAAATTGAAAAATTATCGAAATTGAGATATATATATACCGAAAAATAGCTTAACTCTTTGGCAACACAATGGTACAAGAATCAATGTTTTAAGACGTTTCTACAAGAAATTATAGTCATTTATATCAGGTATGGTAACGGCGATGTAGGTAGCGCGTCTGTTCTCAACCCATGTATTTTTTTCCTTGTTTTTTATCGCTTTTTCTTTGCATTATTCTTTCTAATATAATAATTGATTATTTGGCATCATATAAGAGTGGGTGGAGCATCAATGTCAATGGTCCAAGTCGGACTGAAACGTTGTCGTAAGCTTCTCTTTTATGTGCGGGTTATTTGTTATCAGTAGAGTGCCAGCCAATCGGGAGCCATCTGAGAACACTCAGCAGTACTCCCCCTCCAGACGGTGCCAGGTGAAATCACTTCATTATTACGCTTATATCAGCTTATATATCAACTATACGGCTTATTTATCAGAATTGATCTAATATATAATAAACACTATAAATAACAAACATGTTATATACTCTAGACTGAATAAAATAGGCCATAATATGGCGAGTCCACCAGCAATATTTCGATATGAGTGAGTTATTCCTCGTCTCGTTGTATTGTTTGGTCTGTGATAGAAAACGGTATTTTGAAGAGGATAACTGCACTAGAACATCAGTTTACTTAGAAAACCACAAACGTGATTTTCGCAAAAAAAAAAAATTTTTTTGAGACGGCAGGCCGGCCGGCGTTCCAGGCCTATATCTCGGAAGCAACTTTTTCACTTATTTCGCTTACCTACACCATTATTAATGATTGTATTGAAATGATTTTCACTGACAATATAAAACAGTGTGTTTGACTATTTGCTGCTTCTTTTTTTGGAATATATCAAATATTTTTTATTTTGTGGGAGGTAAAAGGCAGATATTTTGGTGAATGCCAAAAAGTCTATCAAATGTATTTTTTTTTCCATGATAATAAGATATATTAGATGAAACATGTGCATCCAAAATTTGTGTCAGATGTATTCTAACGGTTGGGATTGTCAGAAGTGCCACTCGTAGTGCCATTTTGTCATGCCTTGCTGCCATATATGAAAAGTCATTAAATGTTTTTTTTCTCTGTTGTTTGTTGGCCAATCATACTGAAACTCCCACATTCTTCTACATATGAACCTCTAAATGTACACAAAAAAAAAAAAAAAATAGGTTGAAAAATAAAGTAGGCCGAAATTTTGACCATGAGCCCTTAAGGTGCACTGGAGCAGAATTTACATCCACTGGTGGTGCAGATTGGTGGCACTGCAGCCAACAGGCTCATTATTTAGTTGTAGCTACAGTTAGAGTAAGAGTTAAATGGGACAAAATGAAAATGGGAACAGCAAGAAGAGGTGAAAGTGTATAAACTAAGGGAGGAAGAAGTTAGGGTGATCAAGAACCTCGCAAATGTTGAAAAATCGCAAATGTTTGGTGCAAAAATGTATTGTAGGGAAATCTAACCCATATTTCACTCAACATAATCCTTGAATTAATACATTTATATTCCCCCTCTTCCTGCCATAACTTATCCTTCAACATTATTGCTACTCCTCATTTAGCTGTTTAAGCCAGGACATCCAGCTTCTCATTCATAACATCCACAATCGTCTCTTATCATTCACACAACATCTATGTACATTCAAACATCCCACTTCGATGGTTTTCTTTTCTTTTTAGTAGGCTATATGGGAAAATGGGTTACTAGCCCATTGTTCATGGCATTCTTGTAAACTTTTACAACACGCATTGCTTACGGAGGAAAGATTTTTATTCCACTTCCCCATGGATGTAAAAGGAAAAGCAATAACAAGAACTATTAAGTTAAAATCAAAGAAAACTCAGACGAGTGTGTATATGTAGAGTGACCTATGTGTAAGTAGAAGTAGCAATACCTACCTGAAATCTTGCACGTTTATGACAGAAGACACCAGCACTCCTTTCTTTCAACAAACCGGCCGTATCCAACCAAGGCAGGGTGGCCCAAAAAGAAGAACAAAACTTTCCCTTTTTAAATTCAGTAATTTATACAGGAGAAGGGGTTACTAGCCCCCTTGCTTTTTAGTCACCTCTTACAACACGCATAGCCTACAGAGGAAGAATTCTGTTCCACTTCCCCATGGAGATGAGAGGAAATAAACAAGAACTAATAAGAAAATAGAAGAAAACCCAGGGGGGGGTGTATATATACGGTGAGCAGCAACCTTAAACAAAGACAGCAATGCCTAAGCGTACGTAATAAAAAATAGATTACTGGGATTTATATCAAGAAGTGTAAGCAACAGAAGTCCAGAGGTCATACTGCAGCTTCATACATCATTAGTAAGGCCTCACCTAGATTATGCAGCTCAATTCTGGTCTCCATATTACAGAATGGACATAAATTCGTTAGAAAAAATTCAGCGTAGGATGACTAAATTGATACATAGCATTAGAAATCTTCCTTATGAAGAAAGATTGAAGACTCTTAAGTTACATTCACTTGTTAGACGAAGAATGAGGGGAGACCTGATCGAAGTGTATAAGTGGAAGATAGGTATTAATAAAGGGGATATTAACAAGGTCTTGAGGATATCTCTCCAAGAGAGAACCCGCAGTAATGGATTTAAATTAGATAAGTTTAGATTTAGAAAGGACATAGGAAAGTATTGGTTTGGAAATAGGGTAGTAGATGAGTGGAACATTCTACCTAGTTGGGTTATTGAGGCTGGGACTTTGGGTAGTTTCAAATTTAGGTTGGATAAGTACATGAGTGGGAGGGGTTGGATTTGAGTGGGACTTTCACATCAGAGCTTATTTCTTGGGTGGCATTGAAAATTGGGTTGCGCAAATGTTTTGTTAGTGGGATGAATTGTAAAGGCCCTGCCTAGTATGGGTCAACAGGCCTCCTGCAGTGTTCCTCCTTTCTTATGTTCTTATATATGCTTGTACATGTATGTGTAGTGTGACCTAAGTGTAAGTAGAAGTAGCAAGACGTACCTGAAACCTTGCATGCTCACGAGACAAAAATGGACACCAGCAATCCTGCCATCATGTAAAACAAATACAGGCTTTCTTTTTTACACTCACTTGGGACAAGGAAGGATGAAATTAAAAAAGTAAAGGTTAAAGGTTTTATCTGCAAAAATTTTTTGAGGTAGATTTTTGGAGATTAATAATGCGAAATCTAATCCAAATTTTATCAGCAGTCCAAGGCTGCTGTAAAACAAGCCATAGCACTAAACCTGTAGAGTCTTACTCTCAGTAGTAGTACCAGTTCCTAGCAACCAGTTACCAGAGTACCAGTAGATGACTCACTACCAACCATCTGTGTGAATCATTGACTATTCATATTGCTGCTGACCATAGCAGGATTTCAAACACCCTCACCCGTAGGCACTATGGGTCAGTCATAGTAGGCAGCAGAGAGAGACAGGTCGGCTGTTGGCGCTTTCCATACTTCCCGTTATATATTATACGTACTACCAGCCTACGTGAGTATTTTTACCCATCCACGTATCGAAAACCCACATGACATTACATTGAGCATCTAAGAAATGGGGAGGGAAAGCAGCGGTGATCCAAGGAAGGGGAGTGCAGTAAAAATATTCAAACTTAATAATGCATAGGATTTCTTTGAAAAAATGTAAATGCATTTTCAAAGTAATCTACTTACCAGACTCTGTCCAGATGCAGAACCTGCCAACATGACCACCAGGAGCAAGCTTCAAAAGGTTGAGCTTTTCTACGCAAATAGTGTCCACACCAGGAATGTTACGGAAAGCCCTGGTCAATCCCTGATCCTTATTGTAGATAACAAGTGGCCCAGTTCGCTGGATGCGACGTCTGTTGCGCATCTTGCCTTTGCCAGCACGGAACCTCTTGCTTTTATATACCTGTACATTATAACAGGTCAGTATAATAACTAAGAAAGATTTACCCCATTATATACAATAATATCAGACTAATTTACAGAATCAAACTGTTCATAAACACAGACCAAGGAGATGAGAGAGAAAGAGAGAGAGAGAGAGAAAGAGAGAGAAAGAGAGAGAGAGAAGAGAGAAAAAGAGAGAGAGAAAGAGAGAAGAGAAAGAGGAAAGAGAGGAGAGAGAGAAGAGAGAGAAGAGAGAGAGGAAAGAGAAAGAGAGGAAAAAGAGAGAAGAGAGAAGAGAGGAGAAGAGAAGGAGAAAAGAGAGAGAGGAGGAGAAAGAGAGAGAGAAGAAGAGAGAGAAAAGAGAGAGAAGAAGAGAGAGAAAGAGAGAGGAGAGGAAGAGAGAAAGAGAGGAAAGAGAAGGAAGAGAAAGAGAGAGGAAGGAAAGAGGAAAAGAGAGAAGAGAGAGAAAGAAGAGAGAGAAGAAGAGGGAAGAGAAGAGAGAAAGAGAGAGAGAGAGAAGAGAGAGAGAAGAAGAAGAGAGAGAAAGAGGGGAGAGAGAGAAAGAGAGAAGAGAAAAGAGAGAAAGAGAGAGAGAGAGAAAGAGAGAGAGAAAGAGAGAGAGAAAGAGAGAGAGAAGAGAGGAGAAGAGAGAAAGAGAGAGAGAGAGAAGAGAGAGAAGAGAAGAGAGAGAGAGAAAGAGGAAAGAGAAAGAGAGAGAAAAGAGAGAGAGAAAGAGGGAAAAAGGGGAGAAAGAGGAGAAGAGAGAGAAGAGGAGAAAGAGGAGAGAGAAGAGGAAGAAGGAGAAAAGAGAAAGAGAGGAGAAGAGAGAGAGAAAGAAAAGAGAGAGAGAAGAGGAGAGAGAAATGAAGAGTGAGAGAGAAGAGAGTATGAAAGAGAGAGAAGAAGAGAGAGAGAAAGAGAGAGAGAGGAAAGAGATGAGAGAAAGAGAGAGAAAGAAAGAGAGAGAGAGAGAGAAGTGAAAGAGAGAAGAAAGGAGAAAGAGGGAAGAAGAAGAGAAAAGAAGAGAAGAGAAGAGAAAGAGAGAAAGAGAAAGAGGGAAGAGAGAGAAGAGAAAGAGAGAGAAAGAGAAAGAGGAGAGAAGAGAGAAAGAAAGAGAGAGGAGAGAAAGAGAGAAGAGAGGGGAAAAGAAGAGAGAGAAAGAGAGAGGAGAGAAGATGAGAGAGAGAGAGGAGAGAGAGAAGAGAGAAAGAGAAAGAGAAGAGAGAGAGAGAAGAGAGAGAGAGAGAAGAGAAGAGAGAGAAGAGAGAAAGAGAGAGAAAGAGAGAAGAGAGGAGAAAAGAGAGAGGAAGAGAGAGAAGAGGAAGAGAGAGAAAGAAAGAGAAAGAGAAGAAAGAGAGAAAGAGAGAAAGAGAGAGAAGAGAGAAAGAGAGAAAGAGAGAGAGAAGGAAGAGAGAAAAGAAGAGAGAAAAGAGGAAAGAGAGAAAGAGAGAGAGAAAAAGAGGAAGAGAGAAGAGAGAGAGAAAGAGAGAGAAAAAGAGAAGAGGGAGAAGAAGAGAAAGAGAGAAGGGGGAAAGAGAGAAAGAGAGAAAGAGAGAAAGAGAGGAAAGAAAGAGAAAAGAAGAGAGCAGAGAGAGAGAAAGAGAGAGAGAAGAGAGAAAGGAGAAAGAGAGGAAATGAGAGAGAAGAGAAAGAGAGAAAGAAAGAGAGGAAAGAGAAAAGGGAAGAGAGGAGAAAAGAGAGAAAGATGAGAGAAGAGAGGAAAAAGAGAAAAGAGAAGAAAGAGAGAAAGACGAAGAGGAAAAGAGAAAAGAGGAAAGAGAGAGAAAGAAGAGAGAGAAAGAGAAAGAATGAAAGAGGAGAGAAAGAGAGAAAGAGAGAAATGAGAGAAAGAGAGAATGAGAGAAAGAAGAAGAGAAAGAGAGAGAAAAGAGAATGAGAGAAAGAGAATGAGAGAAAGAGAATGAGAGAAAGAAAGAATGAGAGAAAGAGAATGAGAGAAAAGAATGAGAGAAAGTTACCTTCAGAATATCAGTCCATGCACGATGTTTTTTCAGCATAAGCACAGCTTCCTTTGTCTTTGTCATCTCCTGAACTTTGTCAGATACAACCAAAGGAATTTCTGGGATCTCCTGGATCATGTGACCTGAAAGGATTATATGTACAATTGAAAGCCCAAGTTGCACAAACATAGCCATCATGCTGGTAATACAGTCTCTCCTCACTTAACAACTGCTCAAACTTATGACCAGCTGTCTGACCAGTATGCATACCCATATAATGTATATTAAGAGCTGATTTCCTGTTTTTTTTACAATATATAGTACACTACTGTATAAACTTTACAAAATATGTATACTTAAAATATTATAAATGGTGCAAAGGTGACATTAAAACAAAGATGGTTGACAAACCTACTACCAGTAAGGTATGCTCCCTCCTTAACGACCAATTTGTTTACTGACCTACTCTCAGAACTCTGTTAGGCGAGGAAAGACTTGTGCAATTTCAGTGTCATTTCCAACAAAAATGCTCCCATTTTAATTAAGGCACTGAGAAGCAGAATTCACTACCACTGGGGGCAAGCATTTCCAGAGGTTAAGAGATCTATCAATATGCATGGAACCTAACCTGCCGAATAAGTGGGGCCCTACTGTACATTATTAAATTTAAAAGAGAAACTTCCGTATTTTTTTTTTTGGTCACCCTGCCTTAATGGGATATGGCCAGTTAGTTGGGAAAAAAATGTACTCTGCTCTTTCTTTTCACAACATGAAGCTCAAAAGTTCAGGAAAACTCATTCGATGCATTATGACAAATTTGTTATTGCTCCCTTGGAGTTCTTAGGAGTGCAGTCCTATTACAATACATATTTTAGTCAAGACTACCTGGGCTGAGGTCCATATGTAGGACTGGGGGGGGGGGGGGGCAGACCCAGATTTACCACGAGGCTTGGACACAGACAAGGCCACAGGGACACTGACCATCTGGAAATCTCTTCAGCACTGTAGTATATTGAAAAAATTAAAATTAGTTAACTATCACAGAAACACATGAAAAATTTTAAAACTTGCCTTTAGACATTACAAGTGCAGGACTTGAGGTGGCAGCAATTGCAGAACACATTGCATACCGCTTCTGGTTTACTCCAATCCTGCGGTGCCAACGTCGCCATGTCTTCGTTGGGGCAAACATCCGGCCTCCACGGCACATGTTACCAAATGCACCTTGTCCAGATCTGTGTGTGCCACCACCACGTACACGTGGAATTCGAGCAACAGCACGCCCTGTACCCCATGATTCAGCCGATGTCTGGTGACCTACCCAGTAAAATTAGTAGCAATGACAAAAGTTTCAGTAACAAAAAAAATTACACATTTTAGTAATTAAAGAGATATGTGCTGACATTCCATACAAAATAGTTTGATTTAGGACAAAAAGGTTGGTGTGGCAATCAGATAATTCTACTACTGGACAGCCTAAACAACTTTAGACAATCTGAAGTTTGAACTCGGAAGAATTTACGCTTTAAATTATCTAGTGAAACATCAACATTTAGTATGCCTTAATTTTCTGGTCCAAGGAAAGGTTGAAGGGACGGTAAAATGAAAGTTTCAATAGATAGGGACTTGTGCATCCAGCGGTCCTTTAATTAAGAGCATGTTAGATGCAGGAGGGAGGCAGGTTATGGCTTGGGCATGTTAAGAAGAGATGGGGGATGGTAAGTTAACAACTGTGAAGGGATTCAGAGAAACAAATTAAGGGGGCTGTAGAAAATTTCCGCGCGCGCTCAACCAAAAATTGAAAAATTATGGAAATTGAGTTATATATACCGAAAAATAGCTTAACTCTTTGGGAACACAATGGTACCAGAATGAATGTTCTATGACGTTTCTACAAGAAATTATAGTAATTTATATCAGGTATGGTGACGGCGATGTGGGTAGAGAGTCTGCTCACAGCCTATGTATTTTTTGGAATTTTTTTCCTTGTTTTTTATCTCTTTTCCTTGCATTATTCTTTCTAATATAATAACTGACTATTTGGCATTATAAAACAGTAGGCGGAGATTATCCGTAGACTTTCAGCCTACCGGGCCTACTGCCGCTCCAGGTGTGCCAGGAGAAATCACTTCATTAATACGCTTATATCAGCTTATATATCAACTCTACGGCTTATTTATCTATCAGAATTGATCTAATATATAATAAACACTATAAATAACATACAAACATGTTATATACTCTAGACTGAATAAAATAGGCCATAATATGGAGAGAATCCACCAGTAATATTCGATATAAAATTGTTACCCCTCGACTTCTTGTTGTATGACTTGGTCTTCAATGATAGAAAACGGTGTGTTGAGGATAACTGCACTAAACACCAGTTTACTAAAACAATACACCCAAACAAATGTGATTTACGCATTTTTTTTTTTTGAGACGGGGGGGGGGGGTGGAGAGCACTCCCGGCCGATATCTCGGAAGTAACATTCACTTTACGGTACCTACTCTGCCTTTATTACTTAAATGTAATAATATTCACAGAAATTGTAGAATAATGATTTCTCTAACTAACAATTGTTCATTTTCTAAAATATTCCAAATACGTTGGGAGTTATGTGGGAGTAAAGGGCAGATTTTTTTGCAACATTCCAAGAACAAACTATTTTTTTGTCAAATAAAGATACGTTATTTAGAGGAAAGGTAACAATTATAAATTCGTATAAGCATTGTTCTCTCGGCACCAAGTGTCCAAACAACCTTACGTCGTCCCATATAGGAGTACCACTGTACCAAAGGGCATTGTCAGTAAATCAGTCCTTTTTCAGTCTTTTCTCAGTTGTTGTTTGAGGTATATTTTTGATAAGTATTTTTTACTAAGAGTGAAAACACTATCTTGTGCACCAAAACTGGAGGAAGTCAGACGGTAAACAAAAGTGCTACATATTTTTGCTATACAGCCCCCTTAACCCTTTGAGGGTTTTCGTCGTACTAGTACGTCTTACGCGTAGGGGTTTTTGACGTACTAGTACTCATAAATTCTAGCAGCCTCAAATCTAGTGGGAGAAAGCTGGTAGGCCTTCATATGAAAGAATGGGTCTATGTGGTCAGTGTGCACAGTCTAAAAAAAATCCTGCAGCACACAGTGCATAATGAGAAAAAAAAAACTTTGACCATTTTTTTTAATAAATCAGCGACTTTGCAGTGTATTTTCGTATGGTATTTATTGTTGTATTCTAGTTTTCTTGGTCTCATTTTATAGAATGGAAGACATATTACAGAAATTGAGATGATTTTGACTGGTTTTACAAAGAAAGGTGCCTTGAAATTGAGCTCAAAGTAGCAGAAATGTTCGATTTTTACCAAACTTCAAAAGTAAACAAATCGTGCCAAGCGTGCAATACACGTCAACTGGTGAGTCTAATATTCTTTCACAAGTGCACCAATAATATTTATACCATTTTTTACACTAATGCAGTAGTCTGCATAACAGTAAATCTTATATTTTTGTGAAAAAAAAATTCAAAGTGGAAAGCAAAAGAATATAAGAGGGGCCTTGAGACATGACTAATGACTAGAGGAAATGTCATTTTAGTGCCAGGAATGTCTTTCTTGTTTATTCTGGACCCTATTCGGAAATTGGCATCTTTTGAAATTTGTGTGAAATTGGCAAAATTGCTAAATTCTGACCACTGTACTGGATAGTTGAATTTCATAAATGAGTGGTTTCTTGCACCCATTCGATAGAAAAAATGGAGTTCTAGCGAAATATTCATGTTTTTTGTCGACTAGTACAGTGAAATTGGCCGAAAATGGGGCTCAAAGTGGGCAAAATCGCCGATGCGTAAACATCGCCGAGACTGCTAACTTTGCGAGAGCATAATTCCGTAAGTTTTCTATCAAATTTCAAACTTTTGGTGTCTTTATGATCGGGAAAAGATTCTCTATCTTTTCATAAGAGAAATTTTTTTTTTTTTTTTTTAAATTTGGCCGACCCTGAGAACGAGTTTCGGAGAGGGCCTGTCGACCCTCAAAGGGTTAACCCTTTCAGGGTTTCGGCCGTACTACCATGGCTTATACACCAGGGTCCATGACGTACTAGTACTCAAATTCTAGTGCCTTCAAATCTAGAGAGAAAGCTGTTAGGCCTACATATGAAAGAATGGGTCTATGTGGTCAGTGTGTGCAGTATAAAAAAAAATCCTGCAGCACTGTGTAATGAGAAAAAACTGACCAAGTTTTTGGATTAAAACAGCGACTTTGCACTATATTTTCGTATGGTATTTATTGTTGTATTCTGGTTTTCCTGGTCTCATTTTATAGAATGGAAGACATATTACAGAAATTGAGATAATTTTGACTGGTTTTACAATGAAAAGTACCTTGAAATTAAGCTCAAAGTAGCAGAAATGTTCGATTTTTACCAAAGTTCAAAAGTAAACAAATCATGCTAAGCGTCCAATACACGTCAACTGGCGAGTAATATTCTTTCACAAGTGCGCCAATGTTATTTATACCGTTTCTACACTAATGCAGTAGTCTGCATAACTGTAAATCTTCTATTTTTTGTAAAAATAAAAATTAAAAATGGAAAGCAAAAGAACGTAAGAGGGGCGTGGGGACGTGACTAATGAACAGAGGAAATGTTATTTTACTGCCAAGAAAGTCTTTGTTTATTCTGGACCCTATTTGGAAATTGGCATCTTTTGAAATTTGTGTGAAATTGGCAAAATTGCTAAATTCTGACTACTGTATTGGATAGTTGAAATCAGTAAATTGGTGGTTTCTTGTACTCATTCATTAGAAAAAATTGAGTTATAGCGAAATAGTTATGATTTTTGTCGACTAGCACATTGGAATTAGCCAAAAATAGGGTGCAAAGTGGGCAAAATTGCCGATGCATAAACATCGTCGAGACCGCTAACTTCGCAAGAGCATAATTCCGTAAGTTTTCCATCAAATTTCATTCTTTTGGTGTCATTATGATCGGGAAAAGATTCTCTATTTTCATATATTTTTTTTTTTTTTTTTTTTTTTTTTAAATTTTGGGGACCCTGAGAACAAGTCTCTGAAAGGGCCTGTGGACCCTGGAAGGGTTAATTATGCTAACTCAAGAGTCCTTAAGGTGGAAGTAGCGCCTGCACTCAGAGCTGTTTGATAAGTTGCAATTAAAAACATTTCTCCACTTCTAGGCTTTTGTTTGAAATAGTGACCGAAAATCCCTCAGTTTTTATCGTTTTATCAACTGTTTCTTGGTATTTGATACAATGGAAAACATAATACTTCCGAATGATGAATTTTAGTTGGTTCCCATCTAATGTACAATCTTTCACCACCTTAATTTTGTTACTCTCATCACCTTGCTCTTTCCTAAGTTAAATTTTAATTTCCTTCTCTAATGCATCCTCCACAATTCATCTACCAACATTTGCAACTTATCAGAATTTCCCAATAGCACCATTAACACCTGCAAAATAGCAAATGACAACTGCCACATTGTATTCGATTCAGATGCAAATCTAACACCTAACATTCACTTTTACAAAGCCCATCCATAAATTAAAACGATGGTGGTATCACTCATACGTGCCCAAGACTACTTTTACTGGAAAAATAATCTTTTCCTTTATACATATCTTACCCTGAGCCTCAATATACTAAAGATAATTGGCTTAAATAACCTATCATCTATTCCATATACTTTGAAACATTGCTCCCCTATCCATCCTATTGTACGCCTTTTCTAAATCCATAAATACAACAAAATCTTCCTAATCTAAATACTATTCACTTGTATGTATCAATGTAAACACATCCCTCCCTAAAACCTTGTTCATCTACAATCTTCCTCCAATAACTACCATATCCTTTACCTGATATATTCAACAGTCTTGCTCACAAAATTCCCTTTTTACTTTATATAAAAACTATGCATGCTCTTCCAATCCCTAGGTACCTTTCCCTTTCATACATTTATTGGACAAATGCCTCAACCACTTCAAAATCTTATCCTCACTGGCTAATGCACTTTCCCCCACATTCACTGTGGCACATTCTCAATGTTACACTTCCCTGCCCAATACATGAAATTACGGGCCCCCTCTTCAACATTTACGAGCACAAATTATCCCCATCTTCCCAGTACCTCCACATCTTATTTTAGTTATGTATAGTATTTTCATCTAAACAAGATAATTTATATATATTTTTTCAACAGCAGCAGCAAATGTCTACAAATCAAAACCAAAAGCTCCACTTATTACAATACCTTTCCAGTGTTTACAATATAACCAGCTGTACCACTTTTTTCTTTG